TTCCTTAAGCTACGGTACAAATCAGGTTGTGCTACAGCTCAAGGAGTAGCTTCCTGATTGATATGTCCTTTGGTTCAGCAGCACCTACACTACTCTGACAGGTATGTCACCATATATTCTGTGGTAGTCACAGCTGACGATTATCTAGATGTGTAATCATATGTAGCTGGCATGTCGGGTGATAGGTGTCACTCATGTAAGCTCATAAGTCTGCTGTTGTGTTTTAAGGGCTCACACTTTTAGCTTTGTGCAGGGTATCCATGCAAGTCTCAGCAAGTCATGACAGATGTGAAGAGTACTAAGCACGGTGTCTGTCTGGAAGATTAGCATGTACTGTAGTGTAGTAATAGTCCCTAGAGCTTTGTATCTTCCCTAGTTTTGTCAGGAATATATTGCTTTTTATTGTCAAATTTTCATGCAAATAGAGCGAAAATTCAATGAAAAATGTGTAATTTATTCAAACGGGTACTGCCGACGTATTCAAACCCCGCTGCAGAACACCTCGGGAATATGGAAAGACCAGCCCGTTACCCAATCTCGTTAGCTAACCGTTAGAGCTTGCCTAACGGTGCACTGATGTTATTTACTTATCTTTCTGACAGTTAGGTAACGAGGAGACGCGCGTCACGTACCGCGCAGTGAACTGTTCGGTAACGGCATCAACTCATTTATACCTCACGGCGCGCCGGCGGTGTAGGTGACAGCTTCGTCTTCACCGCAGGATTTGCGAGCCTAGAGAATACGAGACTGGGCAAGATGATGAGGCCGTACGTATGTCGGGCCCGAGGCTGAACTTTGTGAGCGAATAATAGCACAATCAAGGCGTTAGTGTGGCGTGTCACAAAGAGACCGTCTCCACAGATGTGCGAGCACATGAGGGCGAATACCATTGTGGAGTGCCGACAAGTTCCACCTTGAGAGGGCGTACTAGGCAGGTAGAGTATTAGGGAAGCGTGGTAGTGCACGGCTACTTGGAAACGGCCCTGTTTTCTGGGTCACTTGTGGATTTCTACAACAAGCATGTGATTGCCCCAGACATCGAGAAGAGTAAGATGTTTTGACTGAGAAAAGTAAAGGGACGCTGCAGAAAGCGATCCGTGCTCGCGTTAGCGATTGGATTCTATAAGCGGAGATAAGCAACACTGTTGATGTGCTGCGCGGTAGACTTACGGCAAGTATTCGCCCTTCTCTCTAGTCGTAAACCCAGATATCGGTGCGAGCATCTGTACCATCGTATATGAAGACACCAATGAGATTATCACATACTATAAGGCGCTCGGGCTCCCATGTACTATGGCTTGTAAATGGAGTGTTAGGGTAACATGGGCGATGCGGCCTCTGGATGAGACTCCCCCACCGTGCACGAGCAGCATGACACGTCAATTCTGTTGGCGCTGCGATAGCTGTTCCTACTGGGATATTACTCCGAACAATCAGCAGCCAAAAAAAAGGTACATCGGAGCAATAAAAGCAAGTCTTAATTAAGGCTAGTACTGAAGGTCAAAGCACCATACGACCGAGGACGCAGGGTATCTACGACTGTCCATTGCCTTGTCTGAGAGGTCGAAGTTAGGAGTATGGCGGTCATTTGACCTGCCCGCAATGAAGCATTCACGAATGGGGTCCGCGACGGCAGTGCCGCAACGACAACCCGTAACTTACAGGCCTTAATTATTCTTACTTACCGTAGCTTACATATTAGACGTCCATATATGAAATAAGGACTTACATCCTTTACTTGCAGCCTTATGCCCGCTGTTCACTAGTGCATCGCTTGGCTTCCGCAACACTACTACAAACCACCACCTTCCCGACGTAAGTAGGGATAGTTGACCAGCCAACTTCGGCCTCCTGCAGCAGCATGCCATACAAAAAAGCGAAAGAAAAGAAGGTGAAGAGCCAAGCCTCACGCCTAAACTCGGGGCTTGTTTCTCTGGCGGACCTGGAAGGTACGGCGCGTAATGGGGAACGTTTTGACGGGACATGCTGAGTTCTGCTTGCTTGTCCTTCACAGACATACGGAAAATCCCAAATCTGAGGAGGTCGTCCGCACAATACCTGCTCCCAAAGTCTTACGTGGAGATGTTGTCCCGACATCCGGAGACTGTGCAGGCCTACGTTCGCCGCGGAACCAGGACATCTGTCTCCCCCCGTACTCTGATTGAGAACCTGGATCGCCTTTGTATTGAGCTCAATGAAGGTAGGATCTCCCCATTTGTATTACCTGCACCTTGTACACTAAAGCCTGCTAGACACGCCGCCTGCACTATCCGGCCCTCAGGACCCAGACGACATCGAGATTTCTCCGCAAGGCGATGGTTGCAATACAGTGTCCGATACCGGCACTACCGAACAGGATCTCATTTGTCCCGCCTCTATGTCAGATCTCTCTTCCGGTAGTCTAGGATTGGACGCTCCTTCGCTTTCACGTCGTCGTCAGGCCACCAACAAACCGACGTTAGACTGCCATTTACCGCTTCCGCCCACTCCAGCCTTTGATAATCCCAAATTGCCTGTCGTCGCCGCTAACGTTTCCGATTTCCCTCTCGTCAACAAGCGTGGTAGAGCGCCGGTGGCGAAACTTGCGATCGACGATGCCCTCTCTTCTAGAAATGATGATATGCCCATTACACCTGCCGACCAAATAGCCCACGCAAAGCACACTCCTCCCAACGCACCTCGTCAAACCGTGAATAGAGTCCGCCACGCTTCACTGCTGACTTCTCCGTTATCCAGCAACGTTCAAGACGATAGCAGGGATATCACTTCGCCATACCCGTTTACTCCTTTGAATGACAAGTCAATCCATTCCCCAAAGGTAGCAA